GGTACCGTCCAGTCAACTTCAACTCACAAGGACTCTGTGTATAACAAGAAGAAACCCTCCCCAAGCCTCGTCATTCTCACAATCTCCACTGCACTTAAGCCCTTTGTTACAGCTACTGTGTCAATCCATCTCTTATGTATCACCTGGTGGTGTGTGTGACTGCAGCCCTAGGAAACAAATACGTATGCTGAACTAGTCAATGTTCATTTGCTGATGGTTATGGTTTTATTGTGGTTTATAGGAGAATGTGTATGGTCCCTCCCTGGCTTTGATGGTTGTATTCTAGGGAATGATGGCTGATAAATTACTCCCAAATGGTTTGAGGAAAAAACTTCCCTGTATTGTACTTGCAACTTTTTTTCTGCAGACTTGTGATTGTTTCAAACTAAAAAGAAAAACCACTGACATGTGAAGAAGTGAGTAAAGCGCATGTAGGTAGCTAACAACTGTCGGCACCCCCAACTCTGTGACCCTCAGACACCCTTCAAGCCTGGAACTGAACCCACCTCCAAGGTTCAAGTTTCAGCCTAACAGTAGTCTAGAGGGTAAACTCTAACACCTAGGAGGAATGTGCTCCCCAGTACTATCAACCAAAGAGACCAAAAGGGCAGAGTCTACAAAGCTCAGATGACAGGAAAGGGCAGGAAAGCAGGAAGATGGAGAAGTGGGAAGACGGTGTGATTACACTATGGGAATGGACACAATGTCAGGAAACAAAATGTGCACGAGTCATTGAATGGAAAATGAAGTTAAACCTCCAATAAAAAGTTCAAATAAAAGAAAAACTGGTGGCAAAAGTTTTGGAAATCATGGTGATAGTTGTATAATTAATAGTTGTGGATGTAATGGAAAATGGAGTTAAACCTCCAATAAAAAGTTCAAATAAAAGAAAAACTGGTGGCAAAAGTTTTGGAAATCATGGTGATAGTTGTATAATTAATAGTTGTGGATGTAATTAATACTATTGAACTGTACACTTTAAAATGGTCAAAATGCACAGCTGTGTCTTCAGATTCCAACAAGAAATTTCCTCAAAATGGGCACTCATTTATTCCAACACAGTTCATATAAAACCAGACTGTTATAAAGCACAGGGAGTCTGGTGGCCTAATGCCAAGGAGCTGTACTGCCAACCTGAAGGCACATTGTTCAAATACATTAGACACTGTGCAGGAGAAAGACAGGCAGTCTCTTCCCATGCAATTTACCGGCTCTGAAAACCTACTGAAGGGTCAGCTATGGGCCTGTTCTAAATCAACAGTACCCAACAACAACATTATAAAACAAACCCTTGGTACCAACAATCAAGAAATCAAAAGACATATTGCACTGAGGAAAATCCACTGTTAGGGACTTCTCCAAAATGCTGATGAGCAACAATGTCAGTTTAAAAATTGAGGTGCACCTGATCTAAACCATAATCTTTTCAATTACTTGCTATGCATCTGAAAGTTAGATGATGAATAAGGATGATAGAAACAGAATTGATGCCCTTGAGTGATGTTGGAGAAGAGTACTAAATGTGCCATGGACTGCCAAAAGAATAAACAAATAGGTCCTGAAGAAGATACAACGAGGGTGCTCCTTAGAAGCAAGGACAGTGAAACTTCATCTGACATACTTCGGACAAGTTATTAGGAAGGGTCAGTCCTTGGAAAAAGACCTCATGCCTGGAAATGTGGAGGGTCAGTGAAAGAGGGGCAGACCCTCAATGAGACGAGTAACATAGTGACTGTAACAATGGGCTTAAAGATAGCAGATGACGAAGATGGCTCAGGACAGTTCATCTGGTCACTATGAGTTGTAGTTCACTCAACAGCACCTAACAAAAATTATAAGGCAAATAAATGAAATAAAATGGTCAAAAGGGCAAATTTTCTGTTATACATATTTTACCACAATTAAAGAATATGTAGGCTGATAATATCAAGAAAAATATTAATGAAAACACTTTATTATCACCCAAGCAACAATAGCAAAGTTCAAACAGCAAATGCTGGTGAGGTTGTGGAAAGAGTGGAACTCTTCTTTTAATGTAATTTATTGAAATGTAAAATGGTACAGTCACTATGGAAGGTGGTCTGATGCTTTCTCAAAAAATTGGAAATAGACATACTATCTGATCTAACAATTCCATTCTTGGGAATATCTTCTTGTTGTTGTTGTTGTTCTTGTTCTTGTTGTTGTTGTTATGTGCCGTCAAGTCGCCTGTGACTCATAGCAACCCAAAGTACAATAGTTCTGAAGCCTTCCCTGTCCTGAGCCAATTACACTGACTCTGATAAGCCTACCCCCATTGCCCTAGTTACTGTTTCAATCCATCTCATAAAGAAACCGCAGCCACAATTCAAAAAGATATAGGTACACCCATGTTTATTGCTGCATTATTCACAATAGCAAAGAGATGGAAGTAACCCAAGTGCCCATTAACAAATGAATGGATAGAAAAACTATGGTATATTTGTACAGTGAAATATTATGCAGCATTGAAAAACAAAGAACTCATAAAATATTACAATGAACTCATAAGACATGACACAACATGGGGGAGCCTGGAGGACATTATGCTGAGTGAAATTTCTCAGTCACAAAAGGACAAATACTGCATAACACTGCTATTATAAAATAGGACACAGATGGGGTGAGGTTGGGGATGGAATGGAAAAGAGTGGATAGATAACAAACACTGTATTAGATCAGATGAGGGGAAGAACTGTCTGAAAGGATTATATGATTAGACATTATATGTATGACAACAACCTGGAACAAGAGGTACATTCTGGGGTGGGCTGGGGGAGGGAGAAAGAGATAAGGTAGGAAAATGTGCAACAATGAGAAAAATTAAAAGAAAAAAGAAAAGAAAAAGAACCTTTGTTATTCTCCTGGATTTTCTGGTGATTTTTGTGTTTTCAGTCTGTTTATTTTAAATTCATAATTTGTAGTGATTTGTTTTCTTAAGCTTAGGATTTACTTTCATCTCTGATTTTCCATTCTTAAAGAAGACGCTGCAATGTATATAGACTTCAAGACTCATAAAACCAGTTGCACTCTTGACCATTCTTGCCACCATTTTAAAGACAAGGAAACTGAGGCACAAAGAGATGAAGTCATTTGATCAATGTCACTCGGCTAGAAAGTGATGAAGAAGGATTTGAACCCAGGCAACCTGACTCCATAATTTCCCTTAATGGGATCTGGTGACATAAAAGAAGATTAAAGGAACTTGGAAAATTCAAGGAATCTAGGTTATTCATAAGAAAATTAAATATATCATCTGTTTTTTCTATTAAAGCTTCCCCTATTATATGCCAGAAAGAGCTCTGGTGGCTTAATGCTAAGGAGGTAGCTTAGTAGTAAGGCAGTTTTCTAATCTAGCAGCTGCTTCACCAGAGAAAGATGAGCAATCTTCTCCCATACAATTGGCAGCTTTGAAAACCCACTGGAGGGTCAGCTCTGAGTTAATTCCAACCTAAAGGCTCCTTGTACAAAAACACTGTAAGCCAGGGAGCGTTAGTGGCCTAGTGGTAGGGAGTTGCATTTCCAACCCAAAGGCAAGTGGTTCAGATCCACCAGATGGACAATCTCCTCCTGTGTGAGTTCCAGGCTTTGAAAACCCGCCAGTGGGTCAGCTATGAGCTGCTTCTGACTGAATGGCAATAAAGGGGTTTTTTAAACTATATGCCACAAACTGCTTGGACTCTAGACGTTACTTTGTCCTCACCACAGCTATTATCATCCCACAAGAGGCTCCTGAGGTCCACAGAGGCCACACAGCCAGAACATGATGAATCCAGGGCACCCAGCTGCCATATACTGTGAACTGAAAAGATTTCTCCAGCTGAGCTTTCCAAAGTTCTGGGATGCGACATTCTCTCACCTCCTTCCACATGGCACTGACAGGTGCGCGGGACACGGAACCTTTGGCAGGCAGACTTCGTTTCTGCTCAGAGAACAAGTGGGCATCAATTTGAGACCCAGAAGCAGCAAGGTGGGTGCCCGCTCAGGTATCTGCCAGCTCTGGGAAAGCAGGCAACATAGTTTTGACTGCATTTATAGGGCCAGTGGATGAAGGGAGCAAGCAAAAACTTCACTAAGAATTAGACATATTTGGGGTCTGTTCCTTCCTAGTGGCTTCTTCACCTCTTGAGTCTCACAAAGCAAAATGCTTCCTTCAGAATTTATGGATAGTAGAGTGCAAATTGCCTGGCACACAGTAGGTGGTCAATAAATGGCAGTCATATTTAATTATCTGTCAGTGAGGGCTCCCCAGCAGATGTGGCCTTTCAGTAACTCTGGGAATCTAGTCCGGCCATCTTATTTCCACTGAGCCCCCAGAGCTGGAGTTGGAGGAGGGGGCTCTAGAGAGCACAGTACTCTGGTCCCCTCCCCCCCCACTGGGTTCCCTATCCTGTGTCCTGTTCTTAACTGACAACAGGCACAGAGCCCCGAGGTTAAGCAAATAAGCCAGTGATAAGGCACTTCCAGGTTGAGTTGCGTTCAAGGCTTGTCCAGCTTAGCAAGAGCCTTGGTCTTGTGTGCACACAGGAACAGGGCACCAGTAAGGACACCTGCCACCGCTGTCTGCTGATGGTGCACCTGAGGCCTTGGTGTCCTGGTACAGCCTGGGTTAATGACATTGTTTATCCGCTTGAGTCATCCGATAAGGGGCAGCGGGGGCAGCTGGCAGGCAGCCTTGTGCCCTGCACCAACCATTTCATTGACTGCAGTGATATCGACGCCACGTGGAGCTCCCATTGTGCCCCTCCCCCGCACTTCCCCACCAACCTGCCAGGGTCTGAGACTGTGTGTGTGTGTGTGTGTGTGTGTGTGTGTGTGTGTGTGTGTGTGTGTGGTGCGTTGGGGTTGGATTTTTTTTTTCAATGAACATGACTTCTGGAGTCAAGGTTGTCCGGGCTATTTCCCCCTCCCATCCTGGGGAATATAAATAGCTCCGAGCAGAGGGCAGGAGAGCTGGGCGGAGGGAGGAAAAGAGCGGAACCATGAGCTCCAGCCAGACAGGGGCCTGCCCGTGCCAGGGTTCTGCCAGCCGCCCAGCCATCCTGTATGCACTCCTGAGCCCCAGACTTAGGGCCAGGCCCTCTGTCCCCCCACCTCGCAGCCACTGCCTGTGCCGGCAACACAGGCCCGTCCGCCTGAGTACTCCCCACCGTACCTGCCAGGAGGCCCTAGATGTCCTGGCCAAGACAATGGCCTTCCTCAGGAACCTGCCATCCTTCTGCCAGCTGCCCCCCCAGGATCAGCGGTGGCTGCTGCGGGACTGCTGGGGCTCCCTCTTCCTGCTTGGGTTGGTCCAAGACACTGTGACCTTCGAGGTGGCAGAGGTCCCAGCGCCCAGCATACTCAAGAAGATTCTGCTGGAGGAGCCAGGTGGCAGTGGCGGCAGTAGTCAGCTGCAGGACAGGCCCCAGCCCTCGCTGGCTGCAGTGCAGTGGCTTCAGTGCTGCCTGGAGTCCTTCTGCAATCTGGAGCTGGGTCCCAAAGAGTATGCCTTCCTGAAAGGGACCATCCTCTTCAACCCTGGTGAGTCCCCCACGCTCCCAAAGGGGTACCAAAACTGGGGAAGGGTGGTTCATTCAGGGAAAGCACCTTCTAAGGGTTTGTTGATGTCCTTTATCCTATCAGGCCCTCACCAAAGGGGACTTATTGAATGTCACACTGCCAGGCAGGGGCAGTATAGGGAGTGGAAACCCAGTTCTACTCACCAGAGGCTGGCTGTGGTTACTGTGCTCCCCCCACAGCACCCCATCTTCCCTCAGGAAAGGCAGAAATGAGGGAGGATGGGCAGCGCAGCTGTGTCAACCACATCTCTAAGTTCTGAAGGTGAAACCCTGAGGGTTCAGAAAGACCACACACAAGGGCAGAAAGGGGAGAGAGTCTGAAATTCAGCCAGGACAGAAGCAGGTGGAGATGCAGTTCTCTGTGATCCAGAGAGCATCTGAGAGTTTCCCACCAAAGGGCCTCACAGAATGCTTAATTATAGTAATTAATTATAATAATAGTGAATAAGCCTACTTATGGGATGTTAGAGACTCTAAGAGTTTTCTATATACTAGCTTATTTAATTGGAAGCAGGAGTGGTATCCACTTCCTAAACAACATGCCTCTGGAAACTCTATGAACTTTGATAAATGTTGATAGTTGTAGAAAGGCTTCAGGCCTTTTGTTCATGGGGTCACTATGAGTCGTGCTCGACTTGACAGCAATCAACAATAACAGCAAAAGCAGCTTATTTAAATGTTTTAATAAGCCTGTGGACTAGGTACTATTAAATCCATTTTACAGATAGAGAATCTGAGCCAGAGAACTTAGGTAACTTGCTTAAGGTCACCTAGTTTACAAGTGACAGCACTGGGATTCAAACCCAGGGACTCTTAACCATCACTTCATACTGCCTCCCAGAAATGGGTGGTGAAATGATCACTAAATCAGAGAAGGTCAGAGAGGGGCCTCCAAGGCTGAGCAAAGGCCATGGCGAGGTGTCTTGTAGCAGCTTTGGTGGCTGGGAACAGGATGCTCACTAGCTTTCTTCACCCCTCTGCTCACAGACGTTCCAGGCCTCTGCGCCTCCTCTCATATTGGGTACCTACAGAAGGAGGCTCACCAGGCGTTGTGTGAGGTGCTGGAGCCCTGGTGGCCAACAGGTCAAGATCGACTGGCCCACATTCTCCTCATGGCCTCCACCCTGAGGTCCATTCCGCCTGACCTGCTTGTGGACCTCTTCTTCCGCCCTATCATTGGAGACGTCGACATCACTGCCTTCCTTGAGGACATGCTTGTGCTGAACTGACCTGCTCCAGCCTAGGCAGAGATCCCGTGAGGGTTGGCAGAGGTCAGCAGTGCCTACTCAGCCCGGCTGTTTCCAAGAGCAGCGTGGCGCTGCTGGAGGGAGAAACCTGTACAGACAGACAACAAGCTGGGCCTGGTCCAGACAGGTTGGCTAGGGCACCTTCACTCAGCTTTGCCTGATTTGGATTCCCTCTGTTTGGATATTACTCCAGCTGGCTGCCTGGCCCTTGGTGGTCCCCAAAGCCTCTATGCCTCTGGGATAAAGGCAGAAGCCTGGGATATTCACTGGACTTTGTACAGAACTCATGTAAGTTATTTGTTTTTGTAATAAAAGGTCTGATACTCTCGGAATCTGGCATTTAGTTCATGTGTGTGGAAGGGACCATCTCTCCTTCAAGGCCCTTCCTACCCTCTCACAGGGAACTCAAGGAGAAGGCATCTTAAGATGTACCAAAGCCAGACCTTGGGGAATTAGGGTCTTTTTTCAGGATGGGGTAATGATTTCATTCCAGAAAATGAGATTCGTTTGTACCTAGTCCTGAACTCAGTATTAGTTCAAATCCCCCTTAGTCCCCACCTTCATCCTTGAAAGGAGAGGATCCCCCTCTTCCATCAATAACCCCCCACCGATGCCTTGTCTGGTCCTCACCACCTAGAGGCTTCCACCCACCCCAGTGAGAATCTGGTCACAGTCAATTAGGAAAATGATGCAGCCCATTCCCAAATTGAAATAGACAAGGCTCTTGGGATTTCTATAACTTGGAATAATCTACTTTCCTCATTCCTGCAACTAATGCAAGATCTCCATCACTCTTTCAATAAAATAAGCAAGGGGACCTAGGGCTGACCTAGAAGCTGCTTAGAGACAAAATAGGCAGTAGTTTAACTAGCCTACAATGGTACTGACATATAAGTGTTAAAAAGATTTCATGACAGTTGGTTAGCTGTCCTGGTTAAGAGCACTGCTCTGAACCCCCTTCCATTCCCTTCTGCTGCCACTCTGCCTTAGCCCCCCTCCTGGGCTTATTCCTCCCAGACATTCCCATTGGTCAGAGACACTTGACATAGCCATGGCCTTCAGGCCTTCTCTGCTGAGTGCCAAGATTTGTTCTATTCAACTTTGCCAATGTCTACGCTTCCATGTTTGTTAAACATTTTGGATATTACCTCTGGGTCAGGGTGACTGACCTGCAGGGTAGCCAGGAGGGATAATAACACGCATGCCTATACGACCCCTATTTAGGGTTCCTCCTTTCTCCAGCAACAGGACCTGTTCTGACCAGGCCCTACCCCCCTCACCACCACAGTTTGGTTTCTTCTCACGGGGCCCAAGTTAATTATTGCTCAGCAGAAGGTCGTTCACTTGGGGGCAACAGTCTAGGAGTTGTAACCGAGGCTTTTCTCTATGGCCTCCCACATAGGGTCGACAGCTGAACTGTCCACATACTGAATATGGGCACCCAGTGCCAGTACCAAGGGCATACTTGTTCCTTACCTGCCCAATTATTCACAACTCAGATACCCAGAAAGAGACAAAAACAGACAACTCGGGCTCCGTAACAAAACTCTACACAACTCAAACTTACAGCTCTGATGCACACACACTAAGACTATAAATCAGAGAAACCTACAGACCTATAAATCAGACCCACCAGTGACACACAGCCCAGATTCACTCAATTAAGGACTTACAGCAAACACACACCCAAACCAGCCAGTCACACATCCGTCTTGCCCTTGCCCTCAGGAAACACCCCTAATCAAGGGCACATTCTTCAGTATCAGCATGTTATGGTACAGAGAAAAGTGCTCCCCAAAGAAGACAAACTCTGCATATTTTCAGAGTGCAAAAATCCAGGCTAAACTGCTCTAATTGCCATCTGGGGCCTCAGCTAATCTATCAGCTCCTTTTAGAATGTTGATTGCAACATCAGGCCTCCTGGCCCTGACTGACAACTCCATTAGCAAGTATCTTCCCCCATTAACAAACGAATGGATAGAGAAGCTGTGGTATATTCACACAATGGAATACTATACTTCATTAAAAAACAAGGAGTTCATGAAATATTATACAAAATAAGTGGCCCTGGAGGACATTATGCTGAGTGAAATATCTTGGTCACAAAAGGACAAATACTGCATAGTGCCTCTGTTGTAAAATGAGACTGACATTGGGGTTGAGAGGATTTTGAGAAAGATGGGATAAATTATGTATACTGCATTGAAACAGATGAGGGAAAGAACTGTTTAAAAATTATATATGATTAGGTATCATTGTCATGACAGGGGTCCAGAATGAAGGCTGCATAGTGGAGTGGACTTGGGGGGGAGGAATTATATAACAATGAAAGAATTTTTCTTTTACTTTTCAAAGAGAAGAGCAAACTGGAGTGGGGAGAGTTTGGTCAGGGAGAAAAGTGAAACAATGAATGGAAATCCAAAGTCTCTGTAAACTTTCATTAAAATTAATTTTTAAAAAATTATTTTTTAAAAAAGTATCTTCCCCACAACTAGGATCTAACCTAGATAAATAGAGCAAAACTAAGGAGATTGTTAGAGTTCAAAGTAATAAGGGCAATAATGCTTTCTCCATGAGATTGAAGGCTTTCAAAGGTCGTTGACTATGTCTCCATAACTAATGGCTCGTGGGGATGAGATCTGTGTCCTAGGGAAGCTAGCAAGGGCTTAGGCAAGGTCTGTAACTCATTCAAGGTTCTGAGCTGATATTGTCTGCCCTGGGATTCAAACACAGGCCTGTGTGATAATGGAGGATGGGACTTCACCACTGGCCCAGGGTTGAGAGCATCATGGTGGGGATAAGGCAGCTTGGGGCCAGCTTAGCCAATGGGAGTCATACAACACTTAACTGTAACTCATGTAACACCTGTACATAGACCAAGAAGCAGTCAACTGAACAGAGCAAGGAGATACCATATGGCTTAAAGTCAAGAAAGGTATGCATTGCCCATCAACAAACGAATGGCTAGAGAAGCTGTGGTATATTCACACAATGCAATGCTGCATTTAAAAACAAGGAACTCATGCAATATTACTCAAAATGGTTGACTCTGGAGAACATTATGCTGAGTGAAATGTCCCAGTCACAAAGGGACAAATATTGCATGGTGCCACTGTTGTAGAATGGGACTGTCCTTGGGGTTGGGGAGAGACTGAGTAAGATGGGTTCAACAATGTATGCTGCCCTGAAACAGAGAAGGGAGAAAACTGTTTAAAAGAAATATGTGATCAGGTATTTCGGTCATGACAGGAGTCTAGAGCGATGGCTACATGGTGGAGTGGACCTGGGGGAGGGTTTGGAAAATAATGAAAGAATCTTTTCTTTTGCTTTTCCAATAGGGTAATGTCTGGTGGCGGGGGAGCCTTGGGAGGGGACAAATCTACAACAATGAATGAATGGAAATCCAAATCCTCTGTAAATTTTCACTGAAATTAATAACAAATTCAAATTTAAAAAAAAAAGAATTAAGTTAGAGTAAGGATGGCAATGGAACCACCTTACCTCTGTAACTTGATTTGTGCCACTATTAGAACCTCTACTCAGAATATTATTGCTTTTCAATTTTTGACTCATGCACTTTTAACTTGTTAGTTAAATTTGTATCTTCTAGGCTGCAACACTTCCATGATACATCTTCAAGGATATGAACATGTACGGCTAAGCACAATTGATAACAGTGCATCTAAATTCCAAAATCAATCTCCATAATAGTCTATGTGTTTCCTACTGCCAAAGGGGCCCTTTAGAGTAGTGAGAGAAGACCTTCACCCTGAAACCCACAGCGTCCCTTTTCAGCAGGAAGTAGCTAAGAGAATACGCCATCCCCTTTTCCTTATGAATCAGGGTGAAGTCTCTCTCAGGGAGGAGTGATAGGGAATGGCAAGGGACACACCGACAAAGGAGATTAATCAGAACTGGCTTTGACAAGCACTGTGGCAATTGGACAATTAAAACAGACATGGGGGGGGAGAAGAACGAACTGGGGATGAGGGTGGAGAAAACAGTGCAGCAATGAATGAATGAAAACCCAAAATCTCTGTAAATGTTCATTAAAACTAATAAAATTTAATAAAAAAAGAAAGGTATGCATCAGGGTTTTATCCTTTTCCAAACCTATTTTATTTGTCTGAGTAAATAATTCAAGAAGCTGAAGCTGGACTATATGAAGAATGAAGTCTCATCAACTTTATATAGATGACACCGCCTTGCTCGCAGAAAGTGAAGAAGACTTTAAGACTTACTGAAGATCACAGACTACAGCTTTCAGTATAGATTACATCTCAATACCCAGAAAGCAAAAACTCTCACAGCTGGACAAGCATTAAGGAATGAAGGGGGAGAGAGGGGGCGATAAATCTGTATAAATGAGTGAATTTAAAAACAATTTCTCTGTAAAAGTCCATTCAAATCACAATTAAAATAAAATAGATTGAACACGGGGGAAAGGCTAAGTCAGGTGCACCTCACTCAAGTCATGGTACTTTTAATTACTTTCATAAGCATGTAGGACAATGAATAAGCAAGAACAAAGAAGAATTGATGTCTTTGAAATGCGGTGTTGATAAGGAGTATTAAGTATACCATGGAATACCCAAAGGATAGGGAACTCTGGTGGCCTAGTAGTAGGAAGTCGTGCTGCCCACGAAGGAATGTGGTTTGGACCCACCAGCTGCTCTGCAGTAGCAAGATGAGCAATCTCCTCCCATGTAGTGTACAACCTCTGAAAACGCATTGGAGGATCAGCTACTAGTTGATTTCAACTCAACAACGCACAACAACAACCAAAAGGACAAAGAAATCTGGAATTGCAACCAAGGTGGTCTTTAGAAGCAATCATGGTTAAAACTTCCTATTCACATACTTTGGGTATGTTGTCAGAAGATGCCTGTCCTTGGAAAAAGATGTTTGCTTGGTGCAACCACTATAGAAGGTAATTTGATGCTTTCTCAAGAAGTTGGAAATAGAAGGGAGCTCTGGTGGTC